GGTGGTGCTAAAAAATTTGACATATCAAATTATCAAAATATTTATTGTAATTATACAAATTTGTCAGGAAAAAAAATGTGTAATTATAGAAATTTATCAGGAAAAAAATTTATTATGAATTCTAGTATAGTTATTTAAATTATGTACTAAATAATGTCACATAACATTGAAAATTCAAATGAACAATTGCTAATGATTATATACCAAAGCAAACATATAAAAAGGCACTAACCTTTCCGGTAAGTATTTCAAACATAAGAATTTCACTTTCCTCTCACAACGTAATAAGTAATGAACCAAGCATTTCCTAATGATATAAAAACACACAAATATAATAATTATATGTATAATAAGCATTGTCCTTCGTCTCCTCTTTCATTATCTCTATTCCTTAAATTTTCAATATCACACGTTAGAGAACATCGCCCTTGTTTGCAAAAACCATAAGCACGATGGAAAGTTCTCACATTTGAAAATTAGGTTTTTGACCATTCTTTATGTGTTCAACAGCCCGAAACACAATAGTTAAATAGAAATTCATATTCCATAACTATAAACTTGTTATTCATTTGGTTTCATGACTGTTACTTTTAAATGAGTTTATTTGGTTTAGTTGGGCCCAATTTTTGAAATAGGTCCACTAATCATTTTTGTGATTAAGTTTAGAAGTCTTTCTTTTTAAAATAATAGGAATAAGAAGAAATAACATAACTGATTAGAATAAAATAGAGAAAAAAAACAAATATACAAGATAAAAAAAATCAAAAAAGGTGAAACACAAAAATAATCATATTATACACGTTCCTTATTATTTGTTTGCATTTAGATGGTTTACTATTATTTTGCATTGAGTATTTGATTTTCTACTTAGGTGGTGCCAAATTACAATATTAACCTTGGTTAATTATAATTAATTATATAAATATATATAATAAGTAACAAAAATATAAAACAAGCAGGTGCCTTGAATGTGGCTATGCCACTGACAATAAGCACAATCCAAGCTCCAGAAACTCATGACAAATGCAAAGATTCAAGATAAAAAAATATGTACGAAAAGCACCAAAATATTTATAGTAAAGAACCTGGAAATTTCACGGTGAAGCTCCAAGAATCTTGAAAAAACTCTTGATTTCTTAAAATTTAGATTTAGAAATTATCAAGAAATTTTAAAAGCAAGAATGGCCTGACTCCATTTTTTTTTTCACAATTCAAACACAAGGAGAGAAGACTTGAAGGCTGGGTTGCGCTTTATGATCTCTTGAGGAAGGAAAATCACAAAATCGAGAAGAGATTGATAAAAAATTTGAAGTCATTTTTCAGAAATTTCCACTCTATCTCACGAATTATCTCTCACACGAAGATTTGAGGTTTTCTTTTTTGCAGTTCTTAGAAGAAGATTTGTTTAGAGTCACTTTGAAACCACACAATGGAGAAAGGCTCACGAGAGAACAGCGAATGAGTGATTTCCTTTTTAGAAGTTGATGGTAAAAAATGAGTCATAATAGGTGGATACGATAAAGATTATTTTACAATGGAAAAGATACTTTTTGGTAAGGTGCAGCCATGTGTATTAAAAAAATAGAATAAAATTTTGTTTTATCTCTAAAATTGATTTTAAAGTGAGTTACCCAAAACACTCTGACACCATATACAAAATTTCCAAATTATTTCTCTCGAGAAAATTAACAAATTGCCTTTAGCCAATTAAATAACTTTTCATTTTTATATTATGTATGATACGCACGGGAGCTTAGATTATGACATATCAAGATATAAATGTGTGGTACTAATTAAAATATTTAACCTATTTGTATCTGTGCATTCAATTTACTGGCCCCTTCAAGTTGAGATCTCTCTTAAACTTTGACATCATCAAAATATTTTTCTTGTTCTTCTTTATGCATAGAATGTCCTTCATACACTATTACAGAGCATACAAACAAAATTTTTGAATAAATGAATTTGAATAATGAAGCTTTTTGAATAATAACTTTATTTTGAAAATGAACCCCATACATTACATGGGGTCCAATATATAGCATAATTATAAGAAATCTATTACGAAAAATACAATATCAATCTAGGGATGATAAACTATAAAATTAACATTGTAAATTATTGTGTGGATTAAAAGAATTTTAGAATAAATTTATTGGAACCTATTTGATTTATATAAATTTTAAAAAAATGTATAATTTTATTTTGAAAATAAATCCATATTGCATAAAGTGCATAATATTGTTTTACAAAGATTCTTACGAAACATACAATATTTGAGGATGACAAGCTATACAATCAAAGTTATAAATTTGTGTGGATGAAATTATTTTTTTAATTTCATTTAGTGGTATTTTGTATTTTATTTTTTTTAATAAAATAAAGCATATAAAATAATAATTGAACATTTATAATTATTAAGGCGAGGGAATCCTTGTATAAGAAGAAGGGAGGAGAAACAAGGACCATTTACCCAATGCGAAAGTTAGAATGGGGACAAAATTGGTGTTTATACAGTATACTTATACTATATTAAAAAAAATAAAAGTTATTTTGGGTTCCTAACAAAAACATACGGTCGTTACTTTAATCCCTTAAAATAAAATTAGTCATCTGGTCCTTATGAAATTCAAAATAGACCCATTTTAATCATTTTGAGGGACTAATGTGAATTTTTTTTAAAATTTGTAAGGGACCACGATTTCAACTAAATGAGTTTACTGTAAATTTCTTAGGGACTTCGAGTCTAATTTTTTTTTTTGTAAGAGAATAAAGTGGAAATATTATTTTTTGTTAGGAATCCAAAACGGACTTTATTTAAAAAAATTTTAATGGGGCATTGCCTTTGCCTAATCTAAATTTTTTTGGATAAAAAAAATTTACACTCACATCTTTAGATGTATTACATACGAGACATGTTGTACTTACAACAATTTTTCTTTCTCATAGATAAAATTTAGATTGGGGGAAGACATTTCCCCTTTAGAATTGGGGAGACCACCAATGTCAATAAAGATTTATACAGGAATTATGTATATGCATTTTCAAGTTAGTACGAGACTAAATTAAGTATTCAATTAGAGTTTAAAGTGATGGGTCGTGATGTTGCAAAATACCGGCCTCAGTAGTATGTATGATCTGCTGCTCATCGTCATGGTGGTTCAGCATTAGAGAGAAAATGAGAGTGGTACTGTACTGCACCTGTTGTGTTGCATGAGACCAGTTCTGAATCATAGGGAAGATACTCAGAAACTCTAGGCCTGTTGAATTTGGAGCTTCTCGCAAGCTGGCGAACGACTAGGTTTTTAGGCTTCGGAAGCTCAGAGTTGGGTTGGGACTTCAATCTGGGCCGTTTAAAATCATTGAAAGCCCATTTACTTCCCTCAGCTTATAGTGGCCTTACTATTGCAGCGTGGACTTTATATCAAATCCATCACCATTCCAGTTTATTCTTTCCATTGAGAAAACAAAATTATAGGTGTGTTTATTATGGTATTCTGTGTCTTTTCATCAGCATCATTGAAATATAGAAAATTTGATATTGTTATTTGTTGTTTCTTGATTACTTGAAGGTAATATATTCTTGGGGGAGTCAATTTATATCGATATATTTTTATAGGGGAATGATCCGTTTATAATCTTTTTTTACACATCACACTAAATATAATCGGTCATACACTCTTGGTTAAAGTATGACCAGTCGTCAGATATAATGTAATTTGTAAGAGTTTGTAAATAAAAATTTTGTAAATATAACTTTTCCCATTTTTATAAATTATTCTCTTCACTAGAACTTGAAAAGATGTTGTTGATGTTGATTTAAAACTGTGTATGACTCTAACGATGTGTCGCGATTATCATTTATTAATTAATGTAATGCAATGCAATCAACTCTATGACATTATTTTGAAGGTCTTAGTCCTAGCTAATAGATTTGAAAGCTGCTTGTCTCCAATTGATAAATTGAATTCTTCTCAAAGCAGTTTCTCAGTCATTGATTTCGTGTTGCTTCGTTACCTAAATAATTATGTCAAAAGTTTGGGAGTATGCCAGTATGGTCTGTAACTTTTGGTATTGAACTATAACGAAAATTCTCAAAAATTCAATTTATCAGTCATCAGTTGGGAATGTGTATGTCTAAGTGGTTGTAGATTTGAGACTTAGAAGTTTTCTTCACACCCTCTTGCTGAACCAAGCATGGTGTATCTACAAAATGTTTCTAATCAGTGTTTGAAAATAATAAAAAACTTTTCAAACAGCTTTGAACAGTAGAGACAAAAACCTATGTTCCACAGCAAGCAAGGACCATTCTCTTTTGTATAAATAGACAAATTTGAGTGAGTCCAATTGACTACGTTCAAATCCATGTGAATTCTAAGTACAGAATCTAACATATATAATATATATTGTTGAGGGGCTAACCTCGCTAACACGGTTACGACTAATTACTAATCAGGACACCCTCTTAATACTGTTTGTTAGGTTAATTTAAACTTTAGTTTTTCCTATAAAATACAGTTTACTTGCCATTACGCCAAAATTTTATATCTGTTATGGACTCAATCAAACTATTGTGTGTATGTTTTGAATTTATGCATTTTTAAATTGTTAAAATGCCAGACTCTTCATGTATTATCATATATACATTAAAAAAAAATTCTTTAAGGAATATTACTTAAATTTGTACTGCATCTTCAATCTTCACCAAAACACTCATTGCAGAAAAACCACAGAGACACATTAATCATTACTCTGTACACTAATGATCTATTCTCTCCATATTCTGTCCCCAGCTTAACAACGCAGAAAGGTAAAGCAACAAGTAAAGAGAACAAAGGAATAGATTAAAGAAACCAAAAGGGAATAAAAGCAAAAGAAGACTATAATAGCAACACTTCAGCTATATTCCTTCTTTCTTCGAGACTCTGCTATAGTTAATTTACAACTTCTGATTCAGAAACCATCTAGTTCTCTATGCTATCAAAAAACACATTCATACAATGTCACTACTAGTTATTCAACTCATTCTCTCATTTCTCACCCTCACAAGATCTCAATCCAGCATCTGCAGAACATCTTGTGGTGACATTTCCATCAAATACCCCTTTGGCATTGACGATGGATGTGGAAGCCCATACTATAGACACATCCTTGTTTGTTCTGACTCAGGAAAGCTTGAACTCAGAACCCCTTCTGGGAGATACCCAGTTCGCAACTTGAGCTATAGTGATCCGCACATTGTGGTCACTGATCCCTTCATGTGGAGCTGTGAGGATGGTGAGAACTTTCGTCCCACAAGGCCTTTCAGTTTGGACACCAGCACCCATTTCAAGCTTTCTCCACAAAATGAGTACATGTTCTTCAATTGCAGTGAAGACAACGTGATCATTCAGCCAAAGCCCATGTTTTGTGAGCATTTCCCTGAACACTGTGATTCATCGTGTGACAGTGCAAGCTATCTCTGCAGGCACATACCAGGGTGCTCCTTTGCTTTGAGCCGTAGTTCTTGTTGCTCTTACTATCCAAAAGCCACTGAATCTTTAAGGTTGATGCTCAAGTATTGTGCTAGTTATGCCAGCGTTTATTGGAGGAACGTTGGTGCTCCTCAGCCTTATGATCAAGTCCCTGAATATGGGATCAGGGTTGATTTTGATATCCCAGTAACCACACGATGCCTTCAGTGCCAGGATCCATTGAAAGGAGGTGGAACTTGTGGATTTGACACGCAGACTCAGAGTTTCATGTGCCTATGTAACGATGGAAACTCAACTACCCATTGTAAAGGTATGTTCAAGTCAAAACATTCTTCTATTTTATCATGTGTATAATTGTAGATAGGTGACTTAGAAAAACAATGGATTTGGTCCCTATGCCACCAGTAATTTCAAGTGTAATTTTGTATTTTGGAGTTCCTTAAGTTGAGTGATGAAGTAAATTAATTGGCTATTGTTTGTTTGGCAGATCATGATATTGAACAGCACAATAGGAGGGTCCATGTAATCGCAGGTGACAGAAATAAACTAACATTCACAACGATGTTAAGTTTTGAAAGTGGAACATTAGGCTAATGTTTGTGGTTGTGTTGTGTGCGTTGGAATTGTGGCTGCAGGGACAGTTACGGCAGTTTCAGCTGCAGGCGCGTTTGGAATTGGCGCTGGTATTTGGTACTTGAAGAAAGTGAGAGCTAAAGCACCAGTCACATGTGGAGTTCAAAGCAACGATAATAGACTATTCTGAAGACGACCTAATAATGTGAACCATAAAACACATATTCCTTTTGTTCCTTTACTCACCTTAGCTATTATGTTTATTTATTTATACAACAATTATACAGGCCTTGATATTGCTGTCATAATCATGGAGTTGCTTCCCAATTTTTCCGAGTTTCCAATTGTCATCTTCATTAATGTCGGGTTGTATTTTATGTAAAGTTTATTAGGAAGAAAGCACTCCGCTGGAGAATCATTTCTTTCTCACTTCTTTTGACAACGACCTCTGTGATTTCCTTAAGAAATGAATCTGGAAATTAAAGTGTCACATTTCTGCATAGCAGTAAATTGGTTGGGATACAGTCATATCCTTATTCCTACTCTGGTACATGCCACCAAAATGGGGCATCAGGAATCAGCCAGAACATGAAAATAGAGAGAGATGCAAATGTTAAGACATACTAACATGGTTTCCCAACAACACAACACAGGGGACCTGCATTGAGATTTATTGCACCACCAGCAGGGAAGCTGGAGCAGCAGTATAGATTGTGTTCTCGACCCATCTTATGGGCCATATTACAACAACCTAACAACAAGTGATTAGCTAAGAGAGGATAATAATCTTATCCTATCAATACAAGACAGAGGATAGATCACTTATCACATCTCATCCAATAGTCCCACTTAACTACAACGGACCAATGAGAGTAGGTTATATCAATTGATATTTTTCTAAAGAAAGGAAAAAAAAATAACTTTAATATTTTAATTTTTATATTCACAGGAACGCACAATACAAAATCTCCTGTCGCACCTATAATATTTTAATTTATATATTCACGAGAATGCACAATACAAAATCTCCTGTCGCACACAATGATCTGTATCTGTCGTAGTGAAAATGCTCTCCTATACTATAGGTAACTCACATATGAAATGGAGTTAAACCTAAGGTACAAACTTTTACGATTTGTTACTTTCTAGCTGTCACTGAATATATATCTCACATTTTTGCTACACGCCTTTTCTCCTCGTGAATAATTCGGGGCAACTTTCGTACCCAGATAGAACAAAATAAGCACCGTTAGGATTGCATCCTTAGAAGATCTTGGTATTTGTCGTTGATCACATAGGCATATTCAAATCTGTTAAAGAATCAATTCAACCCAAAACTTTAAGACTTTGGGTGAGGGCCTTTTTAATGATTTATATTATATTCTTTAACAAAATCTTACCCTGCATGTTTATCAAACAAGTTGATATATTCTTTACCAACAACTCAACGAAAATTCAGTCTATAAAAATCACTAACCTTGGCATCCTTTCGATTAGGCCATTCACAACTCAATCAAGTGGCCATTAACAAGATGAATGCGTCCAAATAGGATTTTGGCTTACCTGTTATGGTCGTCATATCATGGTGATTTTTTAGTCAATAAGTATATATGAAAAGGATAACCCACAGTATTACACATGAACACAAGCCCTCACATAACAAAGCCATTCAACAGTGAAGTTCTATTTTCAACTCATTCTCCACGTGGCCCAACTAATCATCAAAGAGAAGAAACTGATGCAGTTAATCTGTTGTCTTAATAGATAGAATTAGTTAGAATCTGTTATGGAATATTAAGCTTCTTTGTTAGTTTCTTTTATCAGCATTCAGTTATTCTGATCTTGTATATATAGACTTAAGTCTTGTTTTATTCCTCATAATTGAGAATTCAATGAAAGTTGTCAAGTTCAATATGGTATCAGAGCTCTGGTATTTCATCTCAAAAATTTTCCTTTCGATCTTTCTTTCTTCCTTCTTTCTTGGAAATTTCCTTTCTTCTTTGTTAACAATGGCAAATCAAGCCATAGATTCATCAAGTCCTTTCTTTATGCATTCAAATGAAAGTCCTTCATTGGTGTTGGTTTCTCCTCCGTTAACAGGAGCCAATTATCATACCTGGGCGCGAGGTATGAAATTAGCTTTAATCTCAAACAATAAGCTTGGATTCATTGATGGAAGCATTGAAGTTCCAAATGCAGAAGATCCAAATTTTCCAGTTTGGCAGTGCTGTAACAATATGGTTATGGCGTGGATACATCCTTCCATCTCGGAATCGATAGAAAGATCCATAATCTGGATTGAACGTGCTCGTGAAGCATGGTAAGATCTGCAAGAACGCTTTTCTCAATCTGATTTGTTTCGTACCTCAGATCTTCAAGAAGAAATGTACAAACTACATCAAGGATCCAAAAACGTTACTGAATTCTTTACTGAGCTAAAAACTATGTGGGATGAGCTTGAGAATCTCAAGCCATTACCAACATGTAGCTATCCAATTCCTTGTGTATGTGGAGAAATCACCAAAATGCGAGATTATCGTGAGCGTGATCATGCCATCAGATTCTTGAAAGGATTGAATGAGCAATATGCTCAAGTCCGATCGCAAATTATGCTGATAGATCCTTTACCAAACGTAAACAAAGTCTTTTCTATGATTGTGCAACAAGAAAGGCAATACATGGCTGAAAATCATACAATGATTCTGTCAGTACTCAAATTTTGAATGTGACTAGGGATCGTAATTTTACTGCGGCTAATCGAGGAGGATTCAGCAATGGTGGTCGATCAGGCAGAGGAGGATATGTTAATCGTGGAAGAGGATTCAATTACGGAGGAAGAAACTCAGCTCCTAATCGCATGTGCACTCATTGTGGTAAAGGAAATCATACAATTGATACTTGTTTCGACGTTCATGGTTTTCCACCAGACTATAGAACGAGAAATAATGTTTCACACCAAGCAAATGCAGTAACTCATCAAGAAAGTGATTCAACTGCACTAGAAAACATAGATTCTCACTCGGGAGTCAATCTCTCGCATAGCCAATATCAGCAGATTATGGTTCTTTTACAAAATTCAAATGTGAATTAGAACAATGAAACAGTGCATGCAATGAACTCAGTCATAGTTTCAAATGCAGAAACAGTTTCACAACCAAGATCCTCAGGTGTGCAATGGATTGTCAACACAGGTGCAACTGACCATATTACTCATATTAAATCTCAGTTTTCCTTATTGCAAAAGATTAATTCAATTGCTATAATTTTGCCTAATGGTTCACACATAATTGCTCATTATTCTGGTATGGTAGTGTTATCATCTACACTAACCCTTACTGATGTTCTCTATACACCTGAGTTTCATGTAAACCTTATCTCTGTATCAAAACTTTCCAATTCCCTTAACTGTTCCATAACCTTTCTTGACAATTGTTGTGTGATTCAGCAGATAAATACCCAAGTGATGATTGGTACTGCTGAGCTCAGAAATGGTCTTTATGTGATAGTTAACAATGTGGTTGATAAAAGTTAGCAAAGCCATGCTCCTCATGAAATAAAGTGCAATGTGTTGAATAAAGAAGACTCTGCTCTGTGGCATCAACGATTGGGTCACATATCAGAAGAAGTTTTACGCACTATATCTCAGCAATTTTCTTTCATACCATGTATTCATATAAACCCTTGTGATATATGTCATCTAGCTAAGCAGAAGAGATTTCCTTACTGTACAAGTATCAATAAAAGTAGCAAAGTCTTTGAGCTTTTACATGCTGACATCTGGGGTCCTTATTCTATAGCTTCAATTCATGGGCATAGATACTTTCTTACACTAGTAGATGATTTCAGTCGATTTACTTGGATTATCTTGATGAAAAGCAAAACTGAAAAGTGTATGCATCTGCAGAATTTTATTATTTTCATTGAGAACCATTTCAACACCAAGCTTAAGACATTACATGTAACACCCCGTTCTAGAACCGGTTTGTTAACATCGCATTATGATATTAAGCGCAGTTACAATCACATTGGCTCAATTAAAAATCCGGATAAATTTTTCTTTTTAAAACGACGCCGAATTTCAAATATCCGATTGCGTGATCATAACCATATTACCTTGCGGAATCAGATAAATCAAGCTTAACATCATGTACTTATTCCATTTTTAAACCATTAATTTACTTCTTATTTAATTCACAACTTCTACTATATTGTAGATCTCTTCGTTAGCTACGCGTGGGTTCAAACCGCGCTCAAATCGGAGCACTGTAGCCTAAGTTATAGGTTTTCTACGAAACGAGCGCGTGAATCCTGCTGATCCCGGCGCGACCGGCGCCATCTGCGGCGCGACCGGCGCCAACGAAACAGAAGCTCCCGATCGAAATGGCGCTGGAGGCGCCAAGGTTGGCGCAAGGTGCGCCAGCTGGTGATCCCAGCGCGATTTGCGCCAACGCCGACGCGATTTACGCTACGAAACAGAAGCTTTCGAGCAAAATGGCGTGCGGTGCGCCAAGTTTGGCGCCAGGTGCGCCAAAGCTCTGAAGGTTTCACCAATTCTTAGTATTTTACCTCTAACTAGAGTTGTACTTGTCCAATTCACACAATATTGGTCTCTATGGAAAGCTAAGAAAAATATCTACAACTTCCATACATACACCGCGGTCCAAATCTATCATATAAATTCCTCTCCATAATTGGTTCTTAGTTCTTGCATAATACAAACACATCTAAAGGGACATACATGCCCTTTTCCTCATGGCTTGTACTAAAATTTGGGCAGCATAATCCTTGTTTTCTCAACAATTCCCAATTTAGAACTAGGTACCTAATATGATTTCTCAGCCCAACCAATTCAATAACTCAATACATAAAAGCATGCATATATTGAATTTCAAGTAGGCATCATTTACAGTACATATTCATTACAAATCATGGAACTTAGCTTACAAAACACTATGATCATTCCCTTGGCTCCCATCAACAAAAGAGATGACCAAAGGCATGAGCACAGGCTAAGTCCATTCCAATATACAAATCATAAATTTATCATTGCCTATTAATTACAATTCTATACATGTGAGCTACAAAACAACATGTATAATCTCAAAAATTGCAACACTTCATGCATATGCTAATCCAGATATGGCCACTTGCCACTGGTGGCTCCTGCAGCATCCTTACCTGAAAGGGGGTCCCCACAACACGGGGTGAGATATACGAATATATCCAGTAAACCA